TCTGTGAATTGTAAGTTTTACACATGATGTATAGATTCAGGACAGAGCAGTTCTGCCACCTGAAAAAGCGAGGCATGCTTCCCTAGTCTAGGGTCACATGAACACTTATCAGTTCTATATCCCTATAGTTTTGCCTTTTCTAGAATGTCTCATAAATAGAGTCATATAGGATGTAACCTGGAGATTGTCTTCTTTCACTCAGCATACTGTCTTTGCGATTCATCTGTGTTGTATTTATGGTATTTTGTATGAATATATTGCAGGGTTTTTTTTAATATTCACCTATTGGATCATTTCCAGTTTAGGGTGACTATGAATAAACCTATAAATACAGTTCATGAACACAAGTTTTTTTCTGTGGGACCAATAGCTCAGAGTGGGAGTCTGGTTGTGTGGTTAAAGGTGTGTGTAATTTTATAAGAAATTACCCATGGTGGCATATATAATCCCAGCACTTAGGAGGCTGAGGCAGGAGGATAACCAGTTTGGGGCCACCACTGACTACATAGCAAGACCTTGTCTCAAAATTAAGAAATTGCCAAACTTTCAGAGCAGTGATCTTGAATTCTCACTAGTGTTGTATGAGAAAGACTTACATCCAGTCTTTTCCCCTTGCTGCCTCCCTCTTTCTTGTCTTTCCTTCAGCTTTTCAGGATATTGAACTCAGGGTCAGGGTGGGGGATTTAGCTCAGCGGCACAACGCCTGCCTGGCAAGTGCGAGGTCATGAGTTCGATTACTGGTACCGGAAGAAAAACAAAACAAAAAACCCAAAGAACTCAGGGTCTTTGTGCTTAGCTACATCTCCAATCCTTTAAGAAAATTTTTAAAAAATGTTTAACCAAGCATGATGGCATATCCTGTAACCCCAGCACTCAGGGCCCTGAGACAGGAGGATCCTTCTGGGTTTGAGGCCCCTGTGGGCTACATAAAGAGTTCAGACAAGCCTATACTAGTGAGATCCTATCTCAGATAACCTAATTAATTAATTTAAAATTAAATAAAAGGGGCTGGGGGTTTAGCTCAGCAGCACAGTGCCTGCCTGGCAAGCGCAAGGT